ATTGTATTCGAATTGATATCGACCAAATCGAAACGATTCAATACGAAATAGTAGAAGTAATAATGTATAATTAAATATTGATTAAAACGTGATTGTTAACTACAGAATCGTCATACCAGTTAAAGAATGGAGTGGCAGGCCATTCAAACACTCAACTTATAATGTAGCGATAAGATATAAAAATAGAAACCATGTCACTATAAACATGATAATATAATAAAGCGAGAAATAAATATACGTTCGATCACGACTATCTATACGACTATCTCTACGACATGATGACAGAAACGGGCATTAAATATCATCGTTAATTAAAGAAGTTGAGTCGCACGATCGTATCGCGAAAAATAAAATTATTTTTCAGCGGACAAATAAATTGTGGAGATAAGTTTCGCATGTTTGATCCCGTTATTTAACTATATGATAATTTTCTTGTCGAGATACAAGCCCGAATTCATATTATCTCATGGAATTTCTCCTCGCTATAATCACGCCCACAGTTGTGAATATTAGATGCTGTCGACAACGATTTAGCGAGATCAGAAGAGGGTAAAATAATAATCGATTTCGCAGATGGAACATCACAGCGGCTACATCGCGAGGGACTTCGACGCCTGGAAAATTCCTCGTGCGATTTTATATGAGACCAAGAAAATGACCTCCGAGCCCCGAGGACTGTAGTTGCGTATCAAAACCGGCCGGAATGGCGGCATCGACATCTCCGTTTTATGTTGAGTAAAACCATCATCTCGTAAACCATCCCTCGATTTTGCGCTGCCCGTAGTACGTGTGACGACATGTTATCAGCGGATCTAACAAATGTGTGCGCACACGATGACACCGATGAATAAAATAACGAGCGGTAGTTGCGCGATCGCGCGACGAAAGCTCGAAAAGATACAATTGTATCAACCTTGATGATATTATCAGTGACATTATCGATAACCGCGTCATTCATCTTGCTCTCTGAAGCCCGACCGGCACGGTTTTGCATTCTGCACGATATAAGCGGGTGCGAGAGCAGCGTTTAGTAGGGTCTCGTAAATCGCAACCCGAAAGGTAGGAGGTACTTATCGAGAACTATCTGCACATCGGTAAGCCCCTATCATGGCTCACAATTGACTCCGCAGACGGCATTTAGCAGTGTTCCCGCGGAGAGCGTGCGGTTCGTATCTACGCGCTCGTCTCTGCCTATTTGTCTCGTCGCATGACAACGAACTCGGCCGGAATTTCCCGTCTGCACCGGCGGAACGCACGACGATAAAGGCACTCGGGGTATGGCACTCTCCGGTAGAAGTCGGGAGACTCGCCTCCGGGGGACAATGCTCGGACCTTCCACTTCTCTCTCACTCGCTCGCTCGCTCTCTCGTTCTCTTTCCCTTTCTCTCCTTCTCTCCGTTCCAACGCTCTCGGACCAACAACACACGCACGTGATTCCCGTGTCGCCGAAATGCGTCGCAAAATGGAATTTCTACGGAGGAACTTTACCCGCGTTCCCTCGAAGCGGCGGTCGGATAACATCGGTGATATATGACACCGAGTTGACGCATTTGCAATACGCACGAGTGACTTCGTTGTGCCGGGTTGCGAGGTCATCGTTGCACGTCGGCGATCGGGATCTCATCAAACCGTCGGCGGTGGGTGGTGTGTGTTGTTAATCGTGGAGCACCACTTGGGGTGCATTGGACCTCAGCCGCACTCCTGGGTGTACACTTTGTAAATTACGTGAATTTTCGAATATAGGTTACGAGAGGGAAGTTCACATATCCCGATTGGTCACGCTATTGAATTAGAAGGGTGAGCTTCTGCATTTTACTGTATACCGTTTCTGTCGGCGAGAGCAGCTGAGCGACACATCGACATTCGGCATTTCTATTTCGATGTTGAAATAAGTCGACGAAGCAGCCAGGCGGTTCACCGAGACCCGCACATGTGCGAGGTATGTTCTCGATTTTCTTTGGAATCTTGAAATAGGGAGAGAAAAGACGCGAGTTTCGTCAGATTGCGATTCCAACGGAGGTCACTTTTCTACGCGACATATCGCTTTTGAATAATTTCGCACGCAGCCCCGAAAGTGCGATTCGCGATAATGCAATAGAATTCACCAGGAGAGCGCTTGTATATTGAAAACCGTGTTGTACGCGTTAATTCACTTGGCCGTTTTAATTAGGGTTAATTAAATATTTTTACGGGGGTGAGAGAGCATTCCCCATTCGTTAATATCGAGCGACATACATTCGGGGTCCCGCCATCGGAAGTGTTGACCAAGCCACTCGCTTTGAGCTTCGCAATCGATGCGATCCTAATGAACTCGTGGTTAACATTAATGCGCGCCAGCAGGGTAAACTTATTTCGCGGGCCGACATACTTTAAATATATACATATATTTCTCCCTCGCCTCTTGTGAAAAATCTCACGTAAATACATTGTGCTTATAAATGATAATCACACGAAGAACGCAATTCGTGCCGCGATTCACGCGCAAGAGTCACGCGATTTTTTCCAACGACCTAAGTACTCTTGCGTCCGTCCGGTGTAATGTTGACGACTACTGCTTGCGGCGAGCAACCCTCAGGGGCATATATTTTTCCGACGAGACGCCAGGCTCTCTTTCTTTCTCTATCTATCTCTTCTCCCTTTTCTCTTTTTCTCTCTCTCTCTCTCTCTCTCTTTCTTTCTTTCTCTCTGTATTCGAATTACCGCGGGGAAAACGTTGCTCTTCAACTCGCGAGCTCAAGGTCGATTAGCTCTGCCCCCTGCGTGCTTTGCAATTCAATACAATGTGTCGGCCACAATGTTTTCGCATGTACGTCGACGAGGGTAAGAAAGCGCGTGTTTGTTGTACGCACACGCGAAGATTCCTTTCGGCTCACTGATATGTCGGCGTACATGCCGTGATTTGTGTGTTTATATTATATACGTTATTTAACCACACCTGCCTCTTATATCGATCGATGTAGGCCAACTCGCGCTAACGACAGATAGCTGACTTATTGAAATAAAAAAAAAATTGGATTTGCCTAGCTGATGCATCCAGAGGCTTTCATTTCGGATTACAATGGCACGATAGAGAGCACGCAAACACGCATATCGCATATCGGTGGTCACGCGTCGAAGGCATAATTGTGTAGAAACGAATACGCAGGAATGCAGTTAATTGCGCGTTACTTTGACACGACAGTGGACGTACGCATTGAAAAAGCGGGGACGGAAATGTCGACGATCGCAACGTTTTCGTGAAATTCGGCATTGTATCAAGAGCTATCTACTAAGAGCTACTTATTAAAAAATCGGCAAAATTAGAAACATCCGATGCGCTATGGTCGAATAAAAGCGCTCTCATTCATTATATGTAAAAAAAATATAACAATTCGGCCAATTAAGGTGTTTTCTCTGATTTCGTTCGTGTTCCGCGATACTAGAGCGACTTTGCTTTTTAAAAACGTGCAATGAAGGATAAATTGTGTGGTAAAATTTCTATAAATTGTGAAAGTTTTGAACGAGAGATATGATTACACATTAATGTTGACGTTAAAAGTTGACGCGAAAGATATGATTACACATTAATGTTGACGCTAAAAGTTAAGTGCTTTTCTCAAACAGAGTTGAACTGGTTTCAAATTAAACTACGGAATTTCTTCGGATTTACGTAAACCGCTTTTGCAACTTCTGGAGATTTTAGGAAATTCCTCTAAAGACGAAAAGTATACACATAAGGGGAGGTACAATTATGTGATGTGCGATAGCTTATCTCTAATTTCCGAGAATACGTATTACTCAGGACTATAATCCCTTCTCTCTGAGAATTAAGCAGTTATTGTTTGCTCACAAACGCGCCTTCGCAAATAGTATCGTACACGACAATGGTTGAGTCTTCGCAAGATCGCCAAAATTAAAAGCTCTCGCAATTGTCGCGATTATCTCGCAGCTTATTCTGCTTGCGCGAATTTTCGTTACGTCGATTTTAATTAGTTTACGTATGACTAATCACTATTATTTCAAAAAAAAAAAAAACGGATAAACTATTTGCAGGCTAATAAAATATCGGAGATATTTCAACGATTTAAAAACGATCAACTTCATTTGTGAATTTCATCAGTTTTTCCAACGCCGACATTTATGGAACTGGCAAGTTTCTATCTGGTAAATTCAACAAAAATCACCTCGCTGCAAAACAAATAGGTATTGGGTGACAAATATCCGAGTGACACTGCTGCGTCGACACGATCAGTGGCGCAAAGTGGATCGACAATTATGCTTCACGCTCCGTCAAGCTCTCCACGACGATGGGAAACTCGAAGCAGGGACGGTTGAGCTTCAAAGCGGAAGGTCGGTGAATAATCGTAAATTATGCATGACATCAACTAAGTGAGGAATTCTAATAATCAACCGCGCGTTAGCTAACCTTTATTGCTCACGCGTCCCGATAGAATCCAAAATTAATGAAATATACGTCGAACACGGGGTGTTCAAGTTCCGCCGCTAATTAAAATGTCTGTTACATCGAGAGCTTAATCTCCACGGCACCTGAAAGCTCGATGCTCGAAAGAGCATTCACGAGCGTTGTGACGCGTCGGAAAACTGAGGACGTCCCGTGTCTTAATCACTAAAGATTCTGATCGTTCTTCTCGCATGCACGGAGCAACCGATATCGACGGAAACTTCACTTCAAGAACTGATTTACCCCATCAACGGTCGAAATCGTGTCGATATTTTGCACCTTCCCCGCTGTAACGTCGAACATCACCCTGAAACTTCTCGCGGACGGTACAATCGCGACGAGTGCCGTGCAACAACTGAGAACTAACTGCATTCAAAGCGAGCTCGAGAACATGTGTCCTCCTACGTGAAGTGAGAAAGCGAGAAACTGAACGGAGGCCGAGTCAGTGGCCGCGCGTACGTACTTGCGAGTCGGCGAGGGAAAGGGGGTCGAAGAGCGAGAAAGCGAGGGAGAAACTAGAGGGTGAAATCGGGCGGGGGAAAGAGGATGCGGTACTCACCATCAGCAACTTGACCTTGTTAACCAAAGGGGACGTTGTAAGGAACTTGTTGACGGCCGTCAATATTTTCCCTTCCAACGTGGCAGCGCTTCCGGCGTCTCGTTCTCGTGAGCATCCGGGCCCGATGTCCGCCTCGCCGGGGCTGGGCAACAACTCCCGGCAGTCTTCCGGCCCGAGATCTCTCTTCTTCAGCTCTCCCCGCGGGCCCTCGTGGCTCTGCTCCCTCGTGCTCCGCACCCTCAGCGTTCAGCACGTGTCGGCATCAGAACGCAACCGGCTAGCCCGGCTTAGGATAACCTGCGAACCCTTAGGGCATCCAGCGGGCATCCGTTGCTTGTTTCTGACGTCGGCTGTTCTCCCGAAACGGAGAACTTCCCGGCAGGAAACTTATTAACGAGATCGCCGAATGCCCCCCGAACGTCTCGCGAGATTCGCCGACTTCTCTACGTGACGCACCTCCGTGACGCGCGCGCGGTACCAATGGAACAGGGCCGGTACCAGCGTTGATCGCGAATAATCTGACCTTGTACCAGCTGGTACTGACACGTGAATCGAATGAATCGATGGATTTATTTTTGCTCGATACCGATAGCGGATCGACCGAGGAAGTTAGCGTTGAAGAGATTGTGTTGCGTCGCTCAGGTCGCTCGGATGATTGATCTTACACGAAAGATCTCGCGCGTCGATTGCTTGTCTCCGACAATTTCCTTTCGTTTTTATTTGGATTCTTGTTGATGAAAGGTTACATCGGTACGTCTCGGGTAATATTTATCGATGAACTTCCGACACGCGACGTCGGCCGCGAGGTTCCGGGTGGCTGTCACTCTTCGAGGTCCCGACAGTGGCGCGTTCTCGACGTGGACTGAAGTCCGGAACGGTCCAACGGATGCTGCGACTCGCTCCGGAGGCCGAAGAACGCGCGAGCGCGCGAGAGGAACGCGGAATACGAGAGACAGAGAGAGGACGAGAGAACGAGAGGCAGAGAGGGGGGAGGAGAAAGAGGGAGCAACGAGGGGGAGAGAGAGAGAGAGAGGGTGGCGGAAGCGAGGCGCGAGAGGGAGGATTCTCGTGGAAAATGGGGGAACGAGGCTCTCTGTTCGACGAAGGAGGGGTGCCGTGTGGGTTAGAGGAGGCTGTAGGGCTCTCTCGGGGGTTCGGAGTTTCGGCCGACGCCACTAGTTGCTGGTAAACCTCGCAGATTTTCGCGCCCGATGCGATGCCGGCTGCTCCGGCGATCTCCGTTCACCTCCTGCATCTCTCTATCTCCACCACCTTTCTCTGCCCTTTCTCTCTCTCTCTCTCTCTCTGCAGGAGGCATCCAATCGCAGGGTTAACACGAGTTACAGGTTGGCCGGATCGGGGGATGTTTTTGTAGGTGTTATCGGGGAATTGATACTCTCATGAATTCGACGTGATATAGAAAAACGGGCGCCGTCCAAATTGTATATCAACGGCGGAATTGTCGGTGGGAAGACGGAAAAGTTAGGACGAGATCAGATTTGGTTAATCTGATTTATTTAGACGGTCACGTGATCCGCATCCGATGTTAAAAAGTGATCAATTGCACGGCCGTTGAGCGCAACGTTCGTTCGCTCGATTATTGATTAAACGGCCGACTGAAGATTGCGATCTCCTCTTTCGTTATCGGTCTCGCGTACACACGCGAAATGCGGGATACGTGCGATATATATATGTATGTATGTATATATAACACACACTGAGCGCGAAATATATAGCGTCAAAATTGAGTTTTAGATTGAAAGGTTAACGGAAATGTAACAAGAGTAACATATTACATTCGACAATGTGTACTTTACAAAAAAAAATCAATCAGCCGAAAGAGTTTTATTCGTGGGCAGCATACTGGCGAGATCTATTTGCCAAATACGTTTGAAATTGGCATTCCCGGAACCTCGTCGATTGTTTGCCGTTTGTTGCGGGGAAAGAAAGATTTGAATACATTTTACGCAAATTGGTACGCGCTGCCCCGAACACTCTCTTGTTAGCCCTTTTTCAGCGAGCAAAAACAGCACGGTTATTCGTAAGTAGCCTATTAAGTGTAAATCTTAAATACGACAGAACATGCCACGTAAATATGCGGGAAGATCCTCAGTGGTCGACAACGAACCCGGGCGAATCAATCGCGTGTTTCACACCGTCAATTACGGCCGGAATTAAAACGCTTTCGTTGCTCCCCAAAACGGCCACTTTTTCTCAGATACGTCCTCGAGGACGTCCGTTACCGAACAATTACACCGAGCGAACCGAAAGTTAATTCAGCGTTGACCAAGAGAAAATTAAATAGGCATACAGGACCGAGGAGAGAGAGGAAAAGAAGGAGAGAAGTTTCCTGCGCCCATTATGTAAGGTATTATTTGAACGGGAACGAGGCACGTTGGTAGATACGCTGAATTTACTTTCGGCCCGCCTCGTAATTTCCCCGACTGTCTTGCGAAAGGCCGGGCTTTTGTGGAAAATTTTTCTTTGTTTCCACGCTCTGTCCATATTTACCGCAATGTTCACGTGGGCGGCCGTCATTATCCGTATTGGCATTGTTTTCTAACACGCGGGGCTTTTATCAGCGCGCCGAGGCCGTATCGGCGCACTGACATGGCGCGGCGCAGCGCGTCCCGTTTCTTTCAAGAATACGCGCCCGCGTTAAATCACGTTTAATGTCAAGAATGGCTCACGAGGCGAATCTCGGCCGCTCACAATACGGCCAGCCGACCTCGCCCGCGTCTCTCACAAAGCGGAGACGCGCTTCTCTCGGATCCATCGCGAGAGATCGCGCATTGGATTCTACGCTAACGACCAGATAATTCGCGTTTGCCGCGCCACTGGTGAGTTTTTTTTCCTTCTATCTGCTGTCTGGTTAATAAAGGCACTTCACTGATTAGGTTTACCTTCGCATCGAGTTTAGATGGCGCGTGAATACGTGTTACGGGCGGGTAATTTACATCGGCGCTCCAATTGACACTGAACGGAATATTCATCGAGTGCACTATTGTGCCATCAAAATTCGCCTCTATGTGGAAATAATTGCCTTGGATTGAAATCGCAATACAACCGAGAAGATAGTTCCTCGTGAACGAGTGAAAGATGTAAGATGAATTCTCTCAGATCGACCGCGCACAGCTTTCGATGAAAACGGTTTGTATTTCCGCCCATTCTTTTACGAAAAACCACCTCTCCTCGTCGATTGTATCATAATTTACGGGATACCTTGTATAATCGGTGTCTCATTGTCTACTGTTACGCTGAGCTTTGTACCCTTGTTGGTTTTATGGACAAGCGACCGAAAGAGATCATAAATCAGCGGTTAAGCTCTGTGTTGCCTTTCGATTCATAAGTACGGTACACATACCTCGCACCCTCGTGCGATATATCGCACGTCAATTTTTCACCAAAATCGTAGTCCATAAATCGCAGGACGGATTTTTCGTTAATACTTTCCGGCCCGAGTGAATTAAAACCTGACGGTGAAGCGCCATTTCGAGGCTTTTATATTCAATTTCGCGCAGAATGGATTAAGCTACGCTCAATAACCAATAAACGTTGTCACACGCTATGACGATACGATCAATTTTGAATTTATGCAGAACAAGAGAAAGCGATGCAATCTGGTATATACGCTATCAGCCGAAATAGAGTTTGATGGATGCACCCTATCGCGGCTATTCGTCGAGACTCGACTGTAAATTGAATAACCAATGTTGGCGGATTCACTCGGCTTTTTTTCTCTGTTGTGAGCGTCGCGCGTTCGCGGCATTAGCCACTGAACCGATATTAGCGCGAGTTACGATGAATACATTGCTGGTTGGCGTTTTAAGCTCGTCATATACGCGCGCGTGATACGATCGCGATGTGATCGGGACGTGCGAAATTGAATTTCGACCGTTTCGACGAAACACTTTGATAAAGAGCCGCGGGTTGAAATTTTGTCGAAAATCGATTTAAGGACGGTGCGAGGAATTTATTCAAATCACGGAACATTGCGAATTTTCTTACCACCGGCCTTGGAAATTTAATCTTCGCGGTGCCGGATGGACATTGCATTTTGCGCGTATTACAAGCATTAGGATGCAAAATATCGGAGGATCATGGCGGTATCAGTTAATCGTGGATACGCCATAATCTCCTGTTGCGGCTATACGTGCGCATCACGAGTATTATGCTGCGAGAGTACATAATGTGTGGCGGGAAGCGCGAATAGATAATCCAATCTGAGGTCTGCTTTGTGCGAATAATACGATAGATGAGATCCTGATTGAGTTTCGTTCTCGTTTGACGGTCGTTTCGGACACGCGGCGAATCAGCGTTATCGTTGGGTCGCTCCCGTTATCGGGATAGAAAAGTTCCGCGAAGTTTCGATGAATGATGATATCTCCCGCGAGACAAAGTTGCTTACCAGGAGTTTGCGCAAGCGACGCAGCAATTTTAGGTTAAAATATGCATCAACTTGTAAATACCCCGATATTTAATAACCAGAAAATATGTCTCATGAATATTCTATGCGGTATCAGGTATATTTTTGGTGAGAGAATACCTTCATAAAAGTATATTCGTGAACGCTACGTTGAATATTCGCAGAATATTCGCGAAGAAAATACTACGCTATCTGGCCACGACAGGAATTGTATAATGCATTAGAAGATGAAAAGATGCTTCCGTTCATGTGCGAAGGAAAGTTGGGATTGCTTCAAATTCATACCTTCGTGAAAAACGATCCCTCGACGTGAATGAGATTCTATAATCGGGAGATCTTGAGATACCATCATTACCATACCCGAGAAGTGGACGATATTACTTTCTTCCCTCCGCCATTACGCGAAATTGCTATAGTAGTTCCCTCTGCTGCCAACTGGAATAATGAGACTCGACGAAACGGAAACTCAGCCGATAATGACATAGAGAAGAAAATAAGAGCGAAAGAGAAAGAGATATTGTAGCATGGACGTAATTTTATAAATATTTAGAATGTTCTTTTCTCGGAAGGTTGTAATATTACGAGGAAAGTTTTTAATGGAAAAATGTTCATTATACTACGCACTATACATACAATTATAATATTGAAAGACGAAAGTAAAAAATTGAAATATCAATTATATTTTGTAATAGTATATTGTATCTTTTATACATGAAATGAGCTTATTGTTGAGATGATGAGAAGATCCTATTATTCTGTTATTTCTCGGAGATAATTAGAGAACGTTTATGAGACCGAACGTCGGTATCCAAATATACAAGATTGCTATATCGTGCTTATGCTCACCTGAGGGAGCGCTGGTGTGTATCTTTTCAAATTACGCCAACATTTAATTAGCAGCGACAATTTTTATAACAAAATATAAATAATAACTTATTTCGATAGAAGGAATAATTTTTTAAGGGAACTTAAAAAAGGCGTAAATATTTTGTATCCCTAACCTCTACAACATGCAAAATCACTTCAATATCTGGATTTAATTCTTTTAAAGTTGGCAACAGCGTAGCGACTCAACGGACTGTTGATGGTTTGAAACTTTTGACCGTATTTTGCAGATTCCTCCGTTACTGTTTATTTAATAACATTGTTATTACCTTTGTTTAACAGAAATTCGTTAAAATAGCTACTAATACCGTATAATGTGCTGATAAAACCGACTCTCCTATTTATTTACTACCGATGGATGGACTCTCCCATGTATTTACTACCGAATTTTGTCACGTGCTTGAGAGTTCTGTTGATTGTTTGTTTTTATGGTCGACACATCTATCTCCTTTGCCGAAAAACCATTACTACGCGATGTGCATGATAAAATAGAATGTGTGAGCATAGAGATATTAAAACGGAGGTAAGTGATAAATAATTAGAAATAATAATTAGTGTATATATATATGTATGTCCTATGTTTTTTAAAAGGTTGTTGCAGATATATCTTTAATATTATATTAAATTACCTAAAGCTAAGTAAGAAAGAAAGAGAGATAATAAAAGATGACATCTGATTACATGACAAATTCTGTAAACAACTCGCAAGATTTTATATTGCAACTTTCTGAAGAATCTATTACAGAAGATAGATATGAACTCCTGGGAAATAATAAGAAGGAGAAAGAGAATAGTATTATTGTGATTAGTGACTCTAGTTGCAGCTCATCACCTGAGCATTTTGATAAATCAAAATGGGAGTCTCTTCCAGTTTCTAAGAGGAAAAATAAAAATGTAAAATACAAAAGACTTTACATTTCAGAAACTTCTTCGGAGGATGAAGAAGAAAAGATTAATTTACCATGGAAATTATCTGTTATATCTGATAAATATTTAAATAAGAAACATATAGATAGTGTACAAGATCATAAAACATTTTACATTTCTAACGAAACTGCTATTATTACGAGTAGTAGTGACATGAGCGATGATAGGACTCCTAAAAAACAGACAAGTAAGTTTAATTCAAAAAAATCTTACAGAAGTACTACATTAACACCTATGAGGCAAGAAATTAGACAATCTGATACAGATGCACATAAAGAGCATGAAATATATAACGTTAGAGAAACGAATAAAATAATTACGCCAAGCAGTGTTAGCTCCAGTATTCAGAATAAATTGAATCAATTTACTATTCGTAATACTCCGCAACAAAATAATGTAGGAAGAGTCGAACTTACGAAAGAGGATACTTGCAAAATTTTCAAAAATATAAAATCTACACAAATAGTATATAATTCTCTCAGAGAAAAAAGAGAAACTAATATAATAATTGATGAGAGTACAGACAGAGATGAGGATATAATACATCCAGCTATATCACTTCGAAATAATAATGGAATAAATTGTCATAATGACAGTTTAGGTGTTATTGAAACGACTCTTAAAGATGATATTATTTCTGACTCACAAACTAATTCATCAAAGTCGTGTGATCGAGCGCATAGCATCATAATTATTGACACACCAAAGGACGAAGATCTTCACAGACCATTATCTGAAAGGAAAAAAAGACAAATCACACAGTGGCTTATGACAAATCAATCTGATTCTCAAAGCGACAGCTCTTGCAGTAACATACCTGCGAGCACAAAAAACAGTATACATTCTGGAAATAGTAGTCTAGAAAGACTAGAATTGAACTATGAAACTCCAAATAATAGAGGGCAAATCAACAAGGTGCATACTAAGGAGAAGCAAACTACAATTACTAACAGTAAGGGAGAAATTCACCTATTCTCGACACGACAAAACACTCTGGATAGATTCGTTCAAAGATCCAAAAATAATAATTCTGAGTTTTGTACACCAGAGAGACCAATGGTTTTACCAAAAGCACATACTGATAAAAAGATCTCATCATCGTCGTCAGTAAACAGTTCTGAGAACGTGAATGTAAAGAATTGTGAGGATATATTAGATAAGCTTTATGGTAAATCATGGAGAAATAAAGCTAATGTATTATTACCAACAACTGAGCCACGGAAGAAAACCGCTAAAACAATAGTTAAAGCTGTACAAACGGAACGGTAACTTATATTTTTGTCATAATTTTATTTTCACCAAAAATTTAAATATATTTTATACGATATATATTTTATATTCTGTTACAGGAAACCTATATTAAAGGATAAATATTATACAGTGGATCTGGGCGAGTCCAACTCAGGTAAAAATTCTTATATTTTGCGAAAATTTCATCTCTCATTAAAATATAATTTTCTTGGAAACATCTTTTCAGTAAAAAGTAATATCAGATCAGATATAAGGCGGAAAATTCAACAAAGATACAAGAAACAAGAAGATAGTTTTATAAATGATTCATTGTCGAGTGAAAATAGCGATAGTATGTATCACACTGCTTTAACAAACTTCAGAATTTCCACGGATAGTACGGTACCCAGAGAGAAACGTACCAAACCCATGCCAGTGTCGGCTATGACTAGACAGTACGTCTACATTATATTTGTTATTTATCTCTGTGTAGAAATATAATTTAATAAAACAGTATCTTGTTTAGCATTTTCTCGTTGTGCGATACTGATACTGAAGATGAAATAAACGATAAATCCAGTGATTCCAAGAAGAGTTTGTGCAGAAAAGTACTAACATTCAGTGACGATGATAGTTCCATCACAAGCGAATTTGATCCTGAAGATTACGTACCACCGAAACTTGCTCCTAAAAAAAGTGAGGAACTTAATGCATTTGTTTAAACACGAAAAGGAATAATTATATATATATATATATATGTTTTTAGAAACTACTAATACGCTGCAGCCGCCTAAAGTAACAACGAAATCTGAATCTATTACGACAAATAGATTTTTAGGACACAAAAGCTTTTTGGAATCTTTATCGAGTACAATTTCAATGAACAAAATCCATCCTGACGCAAGAAAATATAGATTGGATTACAAAAATCTGAAAGAAGAATTATGCAAAAAATTGTATAAATTGTATAATGAAAAAGTGTTCGACGATAAATTGCCACGAGATATACCAATTGAATGGAACGTCCGTATGAGAGGTACCGCAGGATATTGTTACAATAAGAAGTCTGTGAGAAGACTTTCTGGTGTCGTGAAATCTTCAAGGATTGTACTAGCAACAAAGGTACATTTTCATTCCTTTCAATTATCATTTACATGTATACAAGTACATTTAATAAAGCGTAATTAAAATGGTGTACAATTTATAGATTTTGGATACACCAGATAGATTAAGAGACACTTTGATTCATGAAATGTGTCATGCTGCGGCTTGGTTAATAAATGATACGTCGGACGGTCATGGACCTTTTTGGACAGGATGGTATGTATTATGCTATCATATTTCATAATTAAATGATAACTTGGAGGATATTGTAAGTTCGTTGTTCACGTGTCAAGTTTTATATAATTCACTTTTCATTAATACAGGGCTAATAAAGCAATGAGGACGTTCCCCGAATTGCCACCAATTCGTCGATGCCACGATTACGAAATTAAGACCAAATTCACGTACAGATGCACAAGTTGTGGTTACAGGTACAGCATATTAGTTATATCGGGTAAAAATTTATCTTCGCTATGATATCTCTAAAACTGTTATTATTTATCATAGTATTGGGAGGCATTCCAAGTCCTTAGATATCGAGAAGAAACGGTGTGGTTATTGCTATGGGAAGTTTGAATTATTAGTCAATAAAACGACAAAATCCGGCACTGTACAAGTGCAAACTTCGAAAAAAGAGCCTTCTGGTTTCGCACTCTATGTGAAACAGAATTACAACTCGGTAAAGAAGGAGAAAAATAATATAAGGCATGCCGATGTGATGAAGATTTTAGGTCAGCAATTTTCGGCAATTAAGATAGCAAAGAAAAACCCAGCTATTGAAAATGATCCAGGGACACCTGGTTAAATAATGTATATACACATATGTGTTTTTTAGAATTAATAGTTATAAGAGAAAGTAGTGCGAATAATTCTTAATTCTATAGCATATAGCATTTTAGCAGATTTTAGAGCTACCAATTATATAGATTCAGGTTTTCTTGATTTTGTATGTATTTACATTTATTGTAATTGCATCAATTTTGCAAATATGTGCAATTACAGTATATATATATATATACGGTATAAAAATGTATAACAATCTAGAAGACATTTTCTTACTATTGCAGGCATTCACAAATGAGAGATATTTAATATACACATAATCGAGATTATTTAGTGACGCATTTTTATGACAAGAATTCTTATACATGTGACGATAATATTAGATATCATATATGTGATTAAGATATATTTGTAGCAGAGCTCTCATAATAAGATGTATTTAAAAATATCCCAACGCCACTTTGTTTTTAAACATCCTTTTACCGACACACCATCGAGGTGATTTCAATTTACGAGCGCGAACTCGAATTACGCTCTCGATTTCCTATCGTCGCATAACATTGACAGCTGTGAGGTGATACTTTAGTGCAACACAAAGCGAGAGAGAGGTAGTGACGAAAACAAAGCGATTCTCTCTCTGTTTCGCGAGCTGCCAACTTCGGGCTACGCACGGTCACCGAGCGAAGGCGACCAATGGCGGAACAGCTTTTCTAGAGACAAAGGTGTCGCTCGTCGGAAATTCCTAGAACCGCGGCTGTCAAACGCAATGCAAATCCCGTCTTAGCCGAGCGGCGGCGCAGCGTGCCGGGCATCGCGGTGCGTCGGCAGCGCACTCTAAAAACAGTCGTGCCGAAGATGGCGACGTGTGAGCGGCGGTGTCCGCGCGGTGTTTAGGCGAGTGAGAGAGTGTGTGAGAGAGGTGTACCATGTTGCCGCCGTTGCAGCGTCCGCAGTGTTTCTGTGATCCGCGTTAAGTTCGGTGCTAAATGTAGGAATGTCAGAGGCGAAACGGGTACCTCTGCAGACCCTGGAGTTCCCGGAGTCCCTGGGCCACGCTACGAAGAAGGAGAAAAAGGGGAATATGGGCAAGCAGCTCGCTCCCTCCTTCCGTTTCACGCTCACCCTGCCGGAGTCGAACGAGAAGACATGCCCTGAATTCAACTACGCGCAGCTCCTGAAATCGGCCGAGGTGAGTCTGACCGCGCGCGCGAGACAAACGTGCCGCACTTTGGTCGGAAACGGGAGATCGAAGGGAGGCCGTGCGTGCGCGTCGTGACGCGCGCGCGACATACGGCGAGAAGTGAGACGGACACCGCGTGTGTCGCAGCGGGGAACAGATGGCAACGCTCGCGAAAATACTCCGAATCGTCGGCGTTTTCCGGCGGCGCGTCGCTCGCGCGATTGTCATCGCGCGCGCGGACGGATGACATCGCCGTGTCCGCCGTCCCCGTCCCTCGCGTAAGAACGTGGCATCCTCCGTCCGAGAGACGGGCGAAAACCGACTCTCCTTGATCGATTCGCGGCCCTCCGCCGTATTCGCGCGTTGTCAACGTCATCGTGCCGCCGGGCTGCTGCGTCGCCGACGTATGCACGCTGTCACGAGGCTATAAGGCGGGCGCGTCAGATTACACACCTTAGAGGACGTGCGCCTTTCTCTCGGCGTTTCTCGCGCGGCCCTTTTTTGATCGTAAAACGCCTCTGCGAGAGTTGCCATTGAACGACGACGACACCGTCCGGCATTGCGAGCTCTCCTCGTCTTTAATTTCCCCTCTCTCTCTCTATTGCGTGCTATCTCTATCTCTTTCTCTCTCTCTCCCCCTCCCCGTTTCTCTCGCTCTGTACTCTTCAAGGAAGAGGAAGATCGACAAAAAGAGGGGGGGAGGGGGAGAGAACAGCGGCAACGACGATGCCTTATTCGTTTGTGTGCGCAACGTCTACGATCTATTTCGCAAGCCACGTATTCCCTTCGACCGCGCACTCGTCGCTGCACAAGAGAGAAGGATATGGAACAGGGAGAGAATGAAGAACGGAGGACGCGAAGCGAAGGGAGACAGAGAGGGACAACGCGCGACACACGCATTTACGTCGTGTGTCGCGCGGAGTCTCTTATTTCACGCGCGCGCGAGAGAGCGTGTTGCGGGCTCTCCTTTCTGAATTGTAGATCGATGCACCGGAGGCGAGACTCGTGACCGCCGGCACGTATCGAATACGCCACTCGCGAGACCGTATGTCACGCGTTCGCGAAACCTCTTCTCCTTCTTCCCCTCTATATACTTCGCTCGCTTTCTCTCACTCTCCTCCCGATGTTGATGAATAATTAGCGCGCCCGACCTTCTCTCGATGAAAAAGCTACAAATATATTTGTAATTATCTCTACAGTTCACGGAACGGTGAGCAGGACGTTTGGCAGAACGAATCTAAGCGAGAAAGGAATTTTACCTGAGAAATGTTTGCCGCTCGACAAATTCTCGAACTTGAATTACACGAACTCTTTACATTTTTTTTTCTCGAGAAACTTTCTCTTTTGGATTTTCGCATGGTTTGACAATGGGCGTTCCGGTTGCAACTGTTGTTATAAATATATGAAAATTTCAACACTCGTCAGATATTTTGTACGGTATCTATTGTAAATTCCTACTTGTGCTATATATATAATATATATATATATATATATATATAAAAGAGGAAATATTTTCGAAAGCAATAAACATATAAATTTCTTTTGAAATTTTTTTGCTTTCTCTTTGTCTTCCTTACCTCGCTTTCGGCCTTATATTTCCTAACATGACACAAATGCGTTCCATAAGACTCCCGGATTTTATATTTTCTAGTCGTGTTAACTTTTATTGTTCGATCGTATATCCAAGATAATCGTTAAACGTATATCTAAAACACTGATAAAGTTCAAATATTAATTATCTCGATATCATTAGTCAGAATCACTGGATTAATTTTCCTCAGCGGTGAATACACTTTAAAATGTATTTTATTTCGCCTTTATGCGTATCTCGTACACCTGTTCATTCATTTGCAGAGGAAATAAAAATAAATATTAGTTTGTTGAAATGCAAGAACGCAGAATCGAATTTGACGTTTCACGCGCCGCTTTGTTTTGGCCGCGCGCACGTGTCTCGAAAACGTGGTGCGAATCACCGGCGAATCAAATTTCGGAAAAGCGAGGGGCGCACAGTTTGAAAATTTACAGTTGAAAATCGCTCGTTGACCTTCACCCTTGAAATTATCCGTTGTAACGCGAGATTAAATGTGAAATCGGAAGTTCTAATTGAAAATTGAATTCTCGTCTGATTTTAAATATAAATGATTAGATTCGTAGGCACATGCACACACGGGCGGTAAAGATGGGCATGCGTTGTTACGTTTTGCAACTATCCCCTTCTCTCTTTCGTTTCTCTTATTTTGCAATCCCGCCATATGATAATCGCGCGTGCTTGCGTGCAACTTTATAATTTCAGTGAATTTTTTGTTTTTTAACTTGCCAAACGCGGCTGGAAATACTTGTTCCGTGTTACCGGGTTAATCCTCCCCTCCTCTCCATTTTCCCCTTTTGTTAAGAGTCCCGATAATAATTGCGTAGCGGCGAAATATCGCGGTAGAAAAGTGAAAGCAACGCTGTGTGGTATTCTTGTGCTGGATCTCGGTTGATCGATCGAATAATTAACCGGACGGTGATCACGCTCGACAAAGTCTTCGATCGAGACGTTAGTGTCAAAAGGAACCACCTTCGATTACTAACAATCACATCGCTGGCAGGATCAATCACTCGATTCGGCGTCCCTGTACCAGGAGAACAGGAGACCGTAGGAGGTGGTTGTTCGCGACTCGAGCGAGAGAGCGCGAAAGCGCAAGGACGACGTTCTAACTGCGATATGCGCTCCTGGTATCGGCGCACGCGAAAGGCACCCTTTCGAAGTCAATTATCGTATTTTCACGAGTATATCTGAGTGCTCGGGATTTGTGTTTAAACTGCACGCATGTGTATATATATGTATATGTCATATGTCATATATGTATGTATATATATGTGTGTGTCATTATTCCGATCGATCTGAATTTGTAGTGAAAGTGACGTGGAAAGTCATATCGCGAGTGGCGAAGTGGAGCGATCCACTGTAGATTAATAGGTAACGTCTGGTGTTACAACAGAACAAAGTGTGTTCGGATATTCGATAGATATGTAATGAACGATTTTTTATGTGCTTTACAGAAGAAGCGAAGGAAAGATCAGAAGAGGGCAGATGAGAATACTACGAATGGCTTGGATCCATTTGACGATGATGATGACGAAGATAAACTTCGCGATATGGCGAGACGATTTGAAGCGAAATATGTACGTGTGATAGCTTAGAAACGAACTCTGACATTGGTTTCAGTATCAGTGAAATTTCGAAATGTTTATATTCTCTATCGCATTTCAGGGAACGTCTACCATGGGAAAGAAAAGACACAAGTATGACGATTACGTGGATTTGGGTGCGGGTTATGATGAAAATGATTCCTTTATTGATAATACTGACGCTGTACGTAGTTGATATCTCTTGCGTAGGAAAAAGTAATTTAGATAAAGCATCGCGCGTTTTTCTTTAATTTAATTCTTTTATTTTTTCGGCAGTATGATGAAATTGTACCCGAGGAGATGACCACGGCACACGGGGGCTTCTATATTAATTGCGGAGCCCTTGAATTCCGTGCGGCTGATAGACACTCATTAGTCCACAATAATAATAATAATAATAATAGCGATGAAGAAGAGAGCAGCGAGAGCAGCGAGGAAGACACCGAAGATGTGGATAGCCCTAAACGTTTAGAGAAACGAACCATTAGCTCGTCGGACGACGATGAGACGGAGGATATTACCGGCAGTAATCCACGAAAAGTAACCGAAATTTACACAAACACAATATTGTGCATCTTATTAGTTTATTCAAAGAAAAATTCAAGAACCGATAATAATAACAACCTTTCACAGAGAAAAATTGAGGACAATAGCGAGAAGAAAATTAATCACGAAAATGGCAAAAAGAGGAAAAAGTCGCAAATTCATCAAACGCAAGATCAGCAACAACAAAATTCTCAACAGGATCTGGACCTCTTGAATAGACGGAAGGATAAGAGTGAGATGACTGATGTTGAAGGTGGTACAGGTAATGTTTCTCATTATTACAAATCGTTATATCTAAGTGAAAATTTTTGTTATTCTTTAAATAATTTTGTGATTTTAGCTTCTGAGGATCAAGAGGAGAAGAAGAAGTCTGAAAAACCGGAGTTACAAAAAAATAAAATAAGTGATAAGAAGTTCGATATGAAGAAATTTGAGAAAAAATCGTCCAATAGTAACGGATTCGACGTGAAAAAAATAGATCTGAAGAGGTTCGGTGGTAAAGACAGCAACATCGACGACGCGATTGAAAGTGTTGTGAACGCGGCTAGGGTCGAAGATGATACGTCGAGTCGAGATACATTCGATTCGGGGAAATCACGCGTTTGCCTCTACGTTGAATCCGACGGGGAGGAAATGTATAATAAGGAAGCGCCATTACCAGAAAATCTTCCCGAGGATGTAAAAGAGTTGGTGAATAAATTGAAGATTCACGCTGACAATAGCAAAGATGGCAAAAGCAAATTCTTCAACAGTATGGTAAACGATGTACTTTTTAGGTGAGTTATAAATCGTAATGATCGTAAAAAAGTCATGAGAACGGTGCTAGGACACATGTTATTTTCGTTACAGTTTAGAGAAGAAACTACGGATGATGAATTCGGCTAGCGTAAGGTTACAAACTTACGACCATCTAGTACGATTTCTGCCTTGTAAGAAAATTACTCTTCTCAGTAGGGCTAAAAAACTTTATCTGGAAGATGCGGAGCATAGAGTGAATGAACCAATGCAAAAGTAAGATTTGTTCATGTAGGAAAAGAATTGCTTTAAGATCTACGGAAATTTTGTAATATACGAGGTGGACAAAAAGTTCGTGCACTTAATTTTTTTCTGCTGACGTGGCAATACCATAGATTTCTGTGGCATGTCGTGTAGTAAGAAGTCTAATGGACGTTCAGTACAAGTTTGATCACTAACGAGGGCGCATGCAGTTTTTTGTGTCAATAATTGTGAGTGTAGTTTTTTGCACTATTGAAATGGAGCGCATTGTTTTGACAGAACAGACAATCAATATCAAATTTCTTATGAAACTTGGGAAAAATGAATCAGAAATTCATGAAATGCTACAGATGGCGTATGTGGAGCTACTATGAAGCGTTGAACGGTGTTTAAACGGGTGAACGTTTTAGAGTAAGGAGGGAGAGTGTCAATGACGATGCACGAGAAGACGCCCAACAACGTTTTGTGTTGATGACATTCATGACATTCAAACATTCAACGTATTCACAATTGATTAATGCTGTATTTTATGTGCAAGTTTTAAAACGTTTATGCGACCGTGTACATGCGACTTGAATTGTGGACAGAAAATAACTGAATCCTGCATCACAACAATGCGCCCTCGAATACGGTACTTATTGTGCGTGAATTTATTGCCAAAAACAATATTATTACTGTGGACCATCGCCCGATTTAGCCTCTCTAGTATTTTTTTTTATTCTCTAAAATAAAAATGACTATGCAAAGTGAACATTTTGCGGAAACATAAAACGCGAAGTTCCCGAAAAATTTATTAGAGAATGACATGCAACACTGCTTTGAGCAATGGAAGAAGTATTGGGTAAAGTGTATTCTGTCTGAGGAAGAGTATTTTGAGAGTGACCTCCTTTCTATACAAGAATAATTGAAAATAAATTTTAGTGAATTAAGTGCACGAACTTTTTGTCTACATCTCGTATGTATTTCTCAAAAAAACTATTTCTTACAATTAATTAAATTCGTTGATTAAATATATTATAAGAAAAATGGTAAAATTTTTATTTTCTTAATTTCAGATTAAAGATGCTCATAGATAACGTCATGCCATCGGTTATGGACAAATATATGAAAGAATGCCAAAAAGTTGCTGACGAAAAGTGAGTAATTCTATTATATATCATATAATAGCAGTTTGATAAATGTTTTGATTTTTATTCCTTTTTTTACAATTCTATATTTTGATTCTGCTTTATTAACGGGTTGTTATAGTGAAAAATTAACTCTTATAATTTATAAACATATATTGTAAAATTTTGAATGCATATATATCTGCGAATAGAAAAAATCCACTTTGCTAAGTACTAATAGTACATAAATACTACAGTTACTAAGTACTAATAGTACGTAAATACTACAGTTTATAATTTTCTGAACCTAAACTCATTGTAATTTTTTATTTCTCAGTCCTCAATTATACTGGGAGATATATCGGTACTGTTGGTAAGGCGCCCCTCGTAAGAGGAACCCCTATCTATTCTCGCCTCTCCGATTGCTCTTTCTCTTCATCTCTTTCCCCTCTCTTTTCTACTGCCTTTATCTTTCTCCCTTGATCTATTCATGCTTATACGCTTTTGCTCTCTCAATTAATTACGAACATTCATGATCAATTATGTTCACATATGGATAAAAAAACATTTCATTACTCAGTAATCATTTTTCATCGGATACATTGTTGAGAAAGCAGAGGAAGATGCGGGGCTTTTTATCATCAGTATCAGTATTTAGTTTGTCACTAGCATCATCTTTTGTATTGAACGAGATATGCATTTGATTTGGGACACAATTCGACGATTAGGTGTGATTTGATCACATATGAACTGTCGTATGCTATTGTCCAAGAGAAGAATGTGTCGCATCGAGGAATTCTGTCACAACAAATGCTGATCATCATTCTTTGTCATCGCGATATCATGTATCTTCATAATAATATTTTTCGATTAAATATGACGGATTGATCGATTTCAGGGGTTTCGAAGGGTCTCCTGCGGATGCAGAAAGCAGCGAAGAAGATGGTGTTCCTAAAAATACAGACAAACCGAAGATTCCACGAAAACGATTTCCATGGACTGACGAAGCAAAGTATGTTATCGATCAATAATATATAAAATCAAGTATATCTTGAATTCGTATGTTTTCACGCATATAAATGTAAATTTTTATTTTAGAAAACTTGTTTTTGAAATTGCAAATGCCAGGAGGCATTATTTCAAGATTCTTAGACCAAGAAAAGAGAGCATGGAATCGTTTGTCGCCACTTTTATGGATACTAATGTTTTGCCATTGTGGCCACCTGGCTGTGTACGGTTGCAAACTTTGATAAAATTCGGTAGTCCCGTTGGACCTGTGTAAGTATTACGTTATAACGCGCTTCATAACCATCAATATCTATCTAGATTCATCAAAATCTAAATTCTACCGTTTACGAGCATGGAGAAGAAAACTTTTCAACTGTTTATGCTTCGCTTAGCGCATGAAAAACTAAACCCTACTGTATAATGTTTATGTTTTTATCAAGGTGAAAGAAGTACTAATATATATCGGAAAAGCGGAAAAATCTCCCAAAGATATATCTTTAACTAATTGCTTTGCAAATCACAGTCGAAAGAAATTGCGCGTTGTCACACGCTATCAGATAGTTGTCTGTCGGTAGCTCTATTGTTTGGCCCATTGTATGTTTTAGGAAGGTGATTGTGTTGGATTAATATGATTTTGTACTTCCATTCGCTACATATTAATGGATTCCTAGCAAAAAGTTGAATTCTACAAGAGTGATATTCAGCTAGATGCATTTATAGATAAACTGCCTAAAATATTAATTCGTATGCAAATCATTAAAGTCAATATTACACTGCTTTTAAAACATTTCCTTAACTTATTGTGTATATATGCACCAAGATCGTTGAATTATCTATATTTAGTTTATACAGATATATTTATTTTTTTACTCTTGTTTATTTATTATTAAATATATAATTACGATTTATGATTTGGCGCTTTTTATTTCTTATACGCCTTGCCTTCTTGTCTTATTAAATTCGCTTGCTTGTGTACTTCTTTAATATCAAATGTTCGCAAGTTCTTCATATCAACGGATTAATATGATTTTAGCATTAAGAAGAAATTGAAAAAACCGAAGGAAATGGCCAATGCAAATAACGTTGCTGCTGCTGGGAATATTCAAATTTGCAATTCCATTGCGAGGAACGATACTGCAAATGTGAATAGTGTTTCATGTCAAGAAAGGGAGAGGATACCATTGAACGCATCCAGAACTCAGATCGGTGCTGAACATTCAACTATCAATTTCGCGAATCAAGCGTCGTCGAGGACCAACGATGTGGGTATCGATAAGAAGCAACACAGTAGTAAACACAAGGACAAACACGCGGAGAATAACGCGGGACAACAGCAAGAGAACGTCACGATTAACGTTGTTAACAACTCTACGGTTGGCAAAATTTCCGTTGTACCTACGGCTCAATTGATGGCTCAAAAGCCGATTAAGAGCCACGTCGAGAAATTTAATCTCATGGATCTAACGAACAGCTCTCTGTCCATCACACCCGTCAACGATTATCACAAACTGTCGGGAAAGGCCACGGAGGCAAAGAAAGATGTAGTTTCCATCACGGCATGTACGGAATCAGCGAGTCACTCGAAAACGAACGAGATAGCCCAGACTGGACATCATTCCGTGTACAGGCAAGATGCTTCCTATTCGTCAGCAGCGCAGAACATGAAACACAGACTCCTGCACGAAAACACCGATGCGAAATGCGACAAGAGATTGGACGATAAGGATATCGAAGTAGTCAATAAAACCGAGAAGAAGGAGAAGAAAAGAGATCGGTGCGCGGAAGTGAAACATAAACCGTCACACGATGCAAAAAAGAGGAAAAAGGATCAGAAAATGCTCGAGCAGCAAATAGGGCCTATTACCCAAGACATAGTGCCTATACCGCAGCAAGCGACCCTTTCGAGAGAAGAGCAGGAACAGAGACAGAACGAGGAAACGATTGCCGCGACTAACTTTCTCAGCCAGATCATCAACGATGACACATCGCCGCGAGGATTATCGGATAAACGGAAAGACAGTTTCATTGCAGACGATAACCTGGGTAGTATAGTACAGCCGACGGAGCAGGAGAAAGATGTGCAAATGGTAATGCGGTCATTGAAAGAGTTGCAAGAGTTGCAAGAGATGAAATTTTCTCCCAGTCATTCTCCAGTCGGCAGTGCCATTCAAAAACCCGGCAAATCGAATACACATTATGTCACTTACCAGGAGGAATATCAACGATTGTACCTCAAGAAAGAGGATAAAATAAGGTCTAAGGAGGATTCGCAATGGTAGATATGACGTCGTGTATTATCGCCTGTTCGAAGCTTCGTTTACACGCGGACAGTAGTAACTAAAGAATTGATTATATTAGTTTCGCGAGATAAACAAGGCGGGGCTCTCGATATTTATAACTGTTTCTTTTTTCGGCACGAACGATTGAGCGAGGGCCGGCCGAAACTTCTTCCACTTAGACATCAATATCGGTGAATAGTATTCACGCAGCTATGGAGTGTGTGTGGCGGCGATCGTTGGTATGCACGTGTACGTGAGCGAATGTGAATGTGTGCGTTGTCGCGTAAGGATTTTTAAGTATTTTGAAACAGACAACCGCCAAATTATGTACATACATAAATTCGCTAGTAGTAGTCTCGGTTGTATGTGTACAGAGTAAGTATAAATTATGAAATTCTAGTAAGAGACTCTGTGAGCATAGCTATCTTTGTAAATAAGTTTAGCAGCGTCCTATAATCGTCTCCGTGAGTGTTGGGTGGTCAACAAGAATTTTACTTACACTAATTCGATGAATGTAATTTGACCTTTTATTGTGATCTTAACAATTGCCGTGAACCAATATTTAATATTCTTGGTCGCGTACGTGGCACTTTATTTTAACTGTCAACATAAAAGCGTGAAGTGTTTTCTGTTTTTTTTTCCTCCAAATACTGCCACGAACATGGGAGGGGCAGGTCCTCGGTATCGATGGCTGTTTACTTTTTACTTGGTATTATTTGACCACCCTGTCACAGAACGAAAAAAAAAAAAAGAGATACTTTATGTATTGTTCCTTTCTTGTGTGCTTCACCTGTCATTATCGTACATATATTATCATGTACGTGTAAGGAGAAAGGAAAAAAATAGTTCAGTTCAGGATACATATTCTGATAATTTTATTATCGATAAGAAACGAATTCGTGATCAGAAACGAATCAGAATGCAAAACTCTCAAATATTGATCTATTATCTTAAGAAGTCACAGTAAGATACTTCCACTGTACATTATCTTTGTATAGATTTTTTTTAATATCATAAAATCCACATATCTTCAACATTTTAAGTTCTGCGTTCCCTTTATCCTTAAAGACAGGAGATACACTGGATTAGCTCGAGATGTGTGCGAGTATTCGGATTGCTTTCTTGATTTATGTGGCTTCATACGCGGCTTGTGACAGAGTGATAGATGTAATAAATAATGTGCGACAGAGAAGAAAGAGTGTGTATGAAATGGATAGAGTGGATGTATGAGAGAGCTGTTTGGAGAAAGAGAGACACAGACAACTAGAATATTTTTGGAACACATAAAGATGACGACTAGTACTGTATTATATATAGTATATATATATATACACACACACACACACATACATACATGTATATATATATATATATA